CAGAGTGCTGGAGACATGTGAAGACACTTTTTAAAATATTTCATCCAGTCCTTGTATTTGCAGAGGTCGCTGGTGCTAGGCTAGCGCATGTCAATGGCCATAGTTAGCCTGCCACTAAAAACAGTCTTTCTCACTCCACCAAGCACCTGAAGAAAATCTATTATGCCAGATTATCGATGCAAATGTCTGTGTTGATAGAATAATGTTTGAAATAAACTAACTTTGCATCGCATGAATCATTGCATGTTGAGGGACTATTTTCTCATATATCGGTCCGCCGCTACCAGGCTTTCTATCAGGAAGTACAACTCGCTGCTGCTGCTCAGACATAAATCCTTCAAATGCAAGGTTGGTTTTACTTCTAAAATGATTCTATTGATTCTATTGTGGAGTGGGTAAGACTGTTTTTAGTGGCAGGCTAACTATGGCCACTGACATGCACTAGCCTAGCACCAGCAACCTCTGCAAGTACAAGGACTGGATAGAATATTTTTAAAAAGTGTTTCCACACGTCTTCAACACTCTGGCTAATTAGGAAATGAGGTCCTATGTGCAAAAATCTGAACTGTCCCTTTAAATGCCATACAGAACATTCCAAACAAAGCAGCAACATTACCATGGAGACAATCCTAGAATCCCCGCTAGAAATGTTCCACAGTGCACCTTTAATAACAGCTAGCTTACCTGTTAGCCTAAAGCCCTGGCAGTAGAACCCTGCAGAGCGATGGCATCTGCTTAAACATTAAGATTAGTGTTATGGCTGAGCGGCTAACAGCTAAGTGCTCGTTTTGGGCTCTGAGCTGCTGAATATGAAAGTGTTTGGTCCTCAGATGTCAAATATTCTGAAGCCTGAATCAATTTCCTGCCTCTTTCGGTGCACATACACATACAGGCGATGTCGCTCACCACATCGCAGCCATGAGAGCCTTGATGCATTCAGAGTATCCGTGCCTGAGCAATTTAGACGATGGGCTTTTAAAAGTTCTCCTCAAAGTAAATAACAGAATACCAAATGCTTCTCACACTTTGTATCAAATAAATAGAAAACTTTCAGACAGCTGTCTATTTTCTCTTGGAAAAATACTGCCATAAAACATTCCCAAAATTGGTACCAAATTCTCTGCCATCTGAACAAAAAGCCGGCTGTAAATCTGCGCAGATCCTGAACAAGTCGCCCTCCTGAAGACAAGGGTCATAAAATAGAGGGAATAGGAGACTGCGAGGGATGAGGAAGGGAGCGAGGGATGATGAGAGAGGGTAAGGAGGCGTTTTACAACATGAGAAAACTTTCTGCTCTGACCTTGGCCATTCTGCACTTGCTTTAAGATTGTTACATTATTTACATTTGGATACATGAAAGCTGATTGGACCCACTACAAATATTTAAGGTAGTACCACTGGGTTCATATTAAAAGCATTAGTGCTGGTAGTGGAAGAAAGGGTTATAACCAAATAATTTATCATAATGACTTTAAGAAAACTTTTACGTTATTTAATACCTAAAAATATAAATTAATGTGTAATGTTTAATACATAATGAAAATAGATTTGTAGCACATATCTTCCTTTAATAAGACACAGACTTAAAATTACCTTAAATAACTTCTAAATAGTAATTGGAAAATCAACTATTGTCATCAGTATGTTCCTCGATTTTAGAGAGAGATATAAAATTACCCTAAGTCAAATAAAATACAGAAATGGAACGGAATCATTGAAATGTGAAACTTAAACCTCTCCGCAGCCCTGAAAGTAATAACGTACAGGTCTTTCTAGTAAAATAAAGAAGAAAAAATCTAATTAAGCCATAGTCCAAAATTTCTCCATCTAGGACATACTGCTATTATCAAATCCTCAATTACACACACACGCACACACGCACACACACACACACGCACACACACACACACACGGCAGTTTTTGAAGTGATATTAAGCATAAAAGACGGGCTCTCTATACTCTCCTCACTTGCACTCCAGTGATATGCGATGGAGAGGACAAAATTGGCTACTTTTGGGACAATGACTTATTTGAAATTCAAACAACTCCCGGTAGTCATCGCAGAGCCTTCGAGGGGAAAGGAGAGGAATCTTTCTCTTTCGTCTCAGAGTGTCGGAGGTGAGCTGCCAACCTGACAGAAAAAAAACAACAGAAAAGCCTGGGCTCCGAACTGGTATGGAGTCTGACTGAGCTAAGGTAATGTGTGTATGCAAATTCTAGAGGATGTTATAGCATGAAGCTGAAGTCATACAAACTGTGCATTTAAAATAATACTTTGATCCAGAAAGGGAAATTCTGTAAGGAAAAAAAACATAACAAGAATAAGAAGATTTTGTGATTGTTATTTTAAATGTGGTAGATTCACACATACATAGAATGATAGTGTGTGTTTAAATATGTTTAAATAATAATGATCATTTATTCATCTAATACTTGCATGAACTGAAAACCAAATGTAAGCAGATATTTACAAATTAAATAATACTAAATAATTCAATGTTTTTATAGCACTTTACCAGCTACCCAAAAATGGCTTTACAATTTCATAGATTATTACACTCCACACGCTGGTATTGTCGCCACAGATGTGGGACTTAAAGATGGGTTAAATGTCTTGCCTAAGGGCACAAATATGAACATTTATGTACCTATAGCAAATTTTCAAGAAAATTCCAGTAACATGAAATAGTCCTGACCATAAACCTATAGGTCAAGCTCATGAGGCTCTGCTCCTATAATATTTTTTGTAAGATAAATTAAATTGAACATGGTCCCTGACAAATAAAAATAAACTAAACATACAGTATTACTACCAAGATATATAACACTCACACTGACTTCTTATCCCACATCTTTTCCACAATATGAAGTTACAAATTGTACACTATTTCTATACGCATTTACCACACCTTTAGGCAGACAATTTGCATGCACCACAAAGACATTTTTCTGTAAACTAATATAACACGAAGCAAGGTTGTCTTCTGAGCAACTGTGGACTTGCCCTCATTCAAATCTGCTCCCCATCAGGCAGTAGAGCAAATTAATCTGAAAGTGAGTGCGCTGGCAGGCGTTTGGGACATGTGGGTTTCCTCTGCACCAGGGGCACTTTGGAGAAACTCAGTCGCAGTGGTGTCATCAGCATGTGCATCCCAATCTGCAGCATTCAGCAAGACAACTCCCTTCGCGCCCTGCACACACACCGAGCCAGGCCCAAAACACAGCAAGTATTCTGGGCCTCTCCGCACTGTGGTAGCCCCTTTTTGCCTATTCTGATAATAGCAGCATCCAAAGTGGCTGTCACAATCCCAAAGCAGAGCAAGAGAAATGACAGAATATACAAGCCTCAAGATGGAAAAAGATGACCAGGTCAAGTTTTTATGGATGGAAAATAGTATTTGGGTGATTTAGAGTAGGGCCGGGGGATATGACAAAAACATATATTGCTTTTTTTTTTTTTTTTCCATAGTCTGAATTATCTCTAAACCACATACTTTTAATGACGGTTAGACCAAACTGACGATCAAAAATGACTCAATCTCAATCTCAATTCGTATTTAATTAATTGCACAGCCTTGATTTAAAGGTCCAAGATTTTTGTATGATTCAAGGTTCTATTGGACATCTTGCAATGTGTATCTGTAAAAACCTCAAAAACACAAACTGGGACAGAACTTGTTCATGTAAAATGTCCACAGAGGGCATTACGACTGCATTAAAAAGTAGTGTATCTTTATGGTAAAATGTAATCTATTAATACATATTAAACTGTGCAGTGGGTGCAATTTGAACTCTGGCATGACCAGATAGTGTCTGGTGAAACTGTCAACCACTATTAATGACAGTGAGGGGCAAACATTTTGAGCTCTGAGGTGGGAGACATCTTAAATACACAAGATTACTGAAGCATGCACCAAAGTAACAAAACACAATTGCAGGTATGTTTTAATAAAAACTAAAAATGTAATTGTTGTGTATACCATTTTGTTTACATTATAAAGCATGCACATTTTTCAATACATTATATTAAAAAGACAAAAAAAAAAAAAGTCAAAATAAGGACATGGGCAGAGGGGTCTAGATTGTTCTCTAAGAACCCCAATTTATATCAGCCGAAGAAAGTTTGTTCAGGGTTAATTTACACTTTAAGCTCTATGCCAGTGTTTACTTGACATAAACGGACTGCACAGTCAGAAAAAGTGACAGCGGCAGCCCACTGGGCAGAGGGATAATGGAAGAAGACTGTGTAAATCCCATATGTGCTTAATCCAGACACTTACAACACTGTGTGATTCATACTCCATTACACTGCGCTAATACAAGCTCAGACACACAGTGCACAATCAATTCAGAGTGCGCTAACCGGCAAAATAACAGCCATGAATCCTCTTTATGTGGTGGTGAGAGGAGAGGGTTCAAAGGTCACGGGTACAGCCTCACAATGTGCTTATTAGTCATTAAACACTGGTGGCTTTGTGCTGCCTCTATAGTCTCCATGTGTGAAGTATTATTATCCCTGCTCAAAGCTCTTCATCTGGAGATTTCCCAATGTCAAGGCAACTGGTAGTAAATGTATAAATCTTATAATCTACAAAGCTGATCATTCACAAGGGCAAGTCAGTGATATAATTTGTAATAAGACTTGTGTATAACTGTATAGAATAACTACTGAATGTTACAAAAAGGTCAATATTATACACTGTACTTGGAGTAACTAAATGAAAAGTGGAATTATTTAATATTCTGTCTGAATCATTTTGAGTTGTACTTTCTACTGTAGAAAAAAAAGCTTAAAAAAGTACAAAAATAATGAATGAGTAATGAAAATCTAACACTTTTAACATAGACATTAACAATCCAAAACTAAAAATTCTATCTTTTAAATGGGCAAAAAGATTAAACTCTTCGAATAGTTACATGCAGTTAAAGTAGTTTATCTCAACCCCTTATAACACCTGAACACAAATACGTACACATTTCACACATTTGTCATGACTTACCTTTCTTGTCCCCAAAAAACAGAGTCTGCTGTGCCGGATTGGACCACTGGAGGGAGGTGTTGTCATTGGACTCCACGCGGCAGGTCAGGTTGGCTGTCCCTCCCTCTGTCACCGTTACGTTGTCGACCAGAGGGTGCTGACCGCTGAGGCCTGCAGCACATTAAACAAGACACACACGTAAGACACATGGGGAACGGACTCTCTAACATATGCTGCTCTTCTATTCACTTCACAGACCAAAGCAGCTATCACCTTCACCGATGACACCAAGAGAATATTACAGAGGCAAAGACTCCAATACGCAAAACAATATGATCACTGACGGAGTAACATGATTATAAATACACAGGTCTCTTCACTGTGGCAGCTGTTTGTAGGTGTAATTTATTCTGCAGCATGTTAATGTAAGTACTGCAAGATTTGAGTGAGTTGTAACTGGAAAGTAGTCCTAGCAGGGTCAATGAATACTTAAACTAGTATAAGAACTAGATATTAGTTTGAACACTAAAATAAATCACATAAATAGGAAAGAATTGCACACTTCTCTAGAATAGTTAGAATGTACTGATCAGGACTATTGATACTTTGCAGTGACATCACACTGGGGGTGTTCTGCGTGCATCTTTTTTGGCCAAATGTTCAGGAGTTACCATGGACACAATGTACACATTAGCAAACACAAACAAAAAATCTTTTAAGATCTTCTGAAAAAATATAAAATTAATTTAAACAACTCATTTTCAAAAGTTTACGATCAGTGTTTAGGTGTTTGAGTTTCAACAGAAAAGGTGAGAGAGACTAACTGAAAAAACTGTCTAAGTCCTCTATTTCTGGTGAGATTGAGTTAAAACAAAACTCTGTCTAATTTGAGTAACAGAGCTTCTAATAGAGTAGTGCTTACAGTTAACATCACACCCCAGGGAAATATTAATGGCATCAGCTGCAAAGTATCAAGAGAATCACAATATAATATTAAAGAAAGTACTGTTATTGTGTGTTGGGACTGATATTATATAGTTTTTTTTATCCTTAATGTGGTATCAAAATCTATATTGAGTATTTTCCTAAGTCCTCTACAACAGATAAGGCACATCGCTGAGGCATTCATTCTCATTCTCAGAGGAGAGACAGAACAGAAACACCAGCATCATTAAGACCACCAGTACCACAGGGACACGGTCATAATGTAATGGTTTGTCTGGATTGTGGAGAACTGTCCAATCCCACCCCGACAAGCGCTAGACTTTAAAAACGGCTAATACCCTAATTACAGAGCAAATGTTCAGTAAAGAATGACCGGTCACTGCTGTGCGCTAAATTGGAGCCTAACATGGGGAACACAAGGGGCAGTTAGCCTGCAGTAGCAACCTTGAAACCTCAACTCCACAGGGAGCACCAATTAAAAACCATCCTCTGTGGAATTGTGCCCATGTTTGTCTGTGTAATTGCTGCAACGAATTAGAAAAAAAGAACAATGAGATGGGAGAGAATAGCACGAGAAGAGCAGAGAGCTAGTTTGGAGTTCAGGACAATGGACAGGTCGTTCTGTGGCTCTGGCTGCGATTTAAGCACCACGGACAGCTCCAATTACTCTAACGTGTGTATGATGACAGTATTTAAGGAAATGTAGTGGTATTTCTGGAGTCACACTTGGCCTGTAGCAGACTATCAAAGAAATAGCATCAAATATGAAGCAACACACACCACATATATAGCAAAGATCTTCAATATGCACCAGAAAAAAACAACAACAACTAACTGTCATGGTAAGGAGAACCAAGCTGTTATAAGCCTACAGCTACTCTGATTTGATTTAATTGACAGTATTAATAAATAACTGTATATTTTGACTCTACTTTACATTTGGTGCATGAATAATACAAGTAAAGTAACATGAATTATTGGTCATTTCAGCACCGTGGACAGCTCCCCTGTTTCTACGTGTGCTTGTATGTAGTGTTGTATAAGGAAAGGCTGAAGGCAGGCAGGTAAATAATAATAACCATAAATCTGTGCCTGCCCGGACCCCCACAGGACAGGTTTTAAAGAGAGTGTGAATAAAGGCTTAGGTGAGAAAGATTATTCAATGCAGCAAACTCGACGTAGAGTCACAGCCCCTCTAGTCAGGATCACGACATGCAAACAAACACATCCAAGGAACAGGTCTATAAAGAAACACATATAGGTTTGCTACTGTGATGTGACCATTTACTAATACTATATAAAAACTTTCTTCTATACATTTTCTAGTTTTATAAGTAATGGTAAAAAATGTGCTTTTCTAACAAATAATTAGTCTATATTTTGATACAAGATTTTCTTATAAATAGAGCAAAATAGAGCAGATAGCAACTTTACTGTAAAAGAAAGAAAGATAGAAAACAAATAGTTATTGGTAGTTATTGGTACGGATTGAATAAATAATTCAATGCAAAGCGCTCTGGGTGTCTTTACAGGTGCTATATAAATCCAATGTATTATCATCATCATCATCAACCAAGTGCACAGACAGAGAAATTGTAATACCTTTGTGGTGGCCTAACCTCTTCAAATCCTGTAACATTTCATTTGGATTCGTTCTATTTTTAACTGAATTCTGCTCACAATAGACTGGAGACATGCACAGACTGCTTGGTGAATCTTGACACACTGGCCGAGTTGCCAGGAGCAGAGATGGGCCGATGGAGGAGAAAAGCGCAGGTACGGCTGGAGCACGGGTCATTTCCACTGTTGATTAAGGCCTCCCGAGGTTAATCATGCGTGCCACAGATAGAGCATGAGGAGTCGGCAAACGCTGGAAAAATGGATCTCTGCTACGGGAGCCTGGAAGGATGTTTTATTCATGAAAGTTTTGCATGAAGCATGATCTGCTGATGATTTAGTGTTCTAGCGCGCCTGGCCTTGGTCTCTTTATTACATTCTCTTTTTAAATCACTTACTGTCCCCCATTTTTCTCTCTGACGCACCCGGGCAACATGCAGCGCAGCGTGAGGCATTTTATTCCCTTTGTGATGGTCACAATAGTGTGTTAAAATCAAATGGGGAGAGCAGGCGTGGCTGAGGCGATCTGCTGGAGAAAATGAACTATAATTTGAGATGATTATTCTAGTGTTGCCATTTAGGAAGACAGTCATCAGGGATTGCATACGTTTAAAACTGTCAACAGCTCAGTCTAAACAAGTCTGTGTCACCGCTGATTGGCTTTTCACAAACAAGAAAACAAGACACGAGTGATGAGTTATGATAAACACTTCACATGACTGCCTCTATAATGGAGATGCAAAAGTTAGTTGGTGTGTACATGTGGCAAAATAAACTCTAGACAATAATGAGACCGATGACTTGTTCTATAAAACAACAATAAAAACTCTTACTAAGTAACCTCCTTGCCACTGTCCAGACTATTCCGACTAATTGTGGTATACAAATGTCAAAACCACTGATGCATCCTGTTGTGGTCGCATTGTAAGTTTCCATTGACATCTTGAGCATCAATCTCCCATATTTAGTCTCAGGCACCGTTAGGCTGAGCTACAGTCATAGCACAACAAGGCTGTTTAATTGGACCATGGCACTGGTATACTGTACAGTCACAGGATTAGCATTGATTTATTGATGGAGGGACGCTTCACTGGGCGACACGCTGGCACAAAAGGTGACCTGTCACAAGTCAGAAAACTGGATAGGTATTTTGAAAAAGTAAAACATTTTTGTACACTGTATAGTGCAGATTCTTCATAATACATTCTAGACCTGTTTGCATAGTTACAGTGTGAGCAACACGCTTTGGGATTTGATTAATAATAACTAACAAAATACTCAAGTGACCTTAACATGTAATTACAACTATGAGGTGTTAAAAAATGTCTATAGAAATTTATAGTAAAACTACAATAATGGCCGAATAGGTAATGACCATATGAAATCCATTTCTTCCATGTGTCTTCTTGATCATCACTATGTTCACATCTTCTCTCAGTCTTCTGTAAGGCTCTCCTCTAACTCTAGTCTGGGGAAGCCTGTGCTTTAGTCCTGGTCGGGAGTCTGCTGCTACAGCACCAGTGGGACCGTGAAGGCCAAAGGGTGCACCATGATGGTTATATTAGAGCTCTGCTCCTGTGTGTGCGTCTAATTGGCCAGTGGAGTAGGCTCTTGGCCGCTCCCCCTCGGCCACCCAGACCTGATTTAAATGTATCTCCGGAGGCAGCTGTTCTCTCCTGATTTCCATGTCTAAATTTAGGTCTTCCCTCGCTTCTCTCCTAACACCTACTTTCACTTTCTTGCTCTGTCTTTTCCAGTTCACTCCTAAGATGATCCCTGAAGGTAGCTCTTTCCCTGCCTTCGTCTCACTTTTTCATAGTTATAGGAGTCTTCCAGGGAGGCCCTAGATGAGAGCTGTGCATTTTGATCCCACACAATCATAGCACCCCAGTCTAACCATGTAGGATCAAGCCATGTCAACTACACCCTCCTCTGCATGAATTACATTATGACACAATATAATTGCCTCAGCATTATTTAGTTGCAATTAAATTATGTGGTTAGTCCAAGCCATTTAACACACAGTTCCCTAATCAGAAATCTATTAATTTAATTGTTTCTTACTGTACACCAATGTACAGTAAGAAACCACTGTAGGCTCAAAAATGTATTGTGTGTATGTATACATGATTCCAACCAAATAGATTTTTATATATTATGTCCCTATAATATGATTCTACAATAAACATTTTATTTCTATCACAAATATTGTCATCTCAAAAATCTAATCCAATACCTGGCTTTCTGGATAATAACTTCAGGAATAACCAAAACACATGTCAGCAGCATTGAAAATCATTCTCTTATTTTGGTCCAGGTGACCTTTAAAGCAGTAGTAGACTCTACCCATAAAGCCCATTGCACTGGCATAGGAATAAAACTCTTCATATTGGGTGGCAAGGGGTTTCTACCATCATGCATCTCATTTAAGGTGGTTTTACAATTATCCTGATTTGTTCTGGTCTGTGTTCCAGTTTAGACCTGAGACATGGGTTTGCCCTCTTCTAGTCTGGATTTAGTGTGTGTGACGTGTGATGCACCCTGTTGACTGTCAAATGCTAATATGACGACTTATACTCAAACAAGAAAAGTTGCATGACTAAACTGAC